TTCGCTGACATTGCTTCTTTAAGTTGGAAATACTTTTTTAGAGACAGTCCATATTCGCTGACATTACAGGTTGAACCCGAAAATATTTTATTTATTCACGTACATGTTGGGTAAAGTCTGGAAAAAAAAGGAAAAAAAAAAACAAATTATATGTAAAACTCGGACCCAGACGGTCCGAGTTTTACTTTTATAAAACCTAAAATTATTAATAAATCGGAACATGATGTTCCGATTTATTAATAATTTTTTGGTTAAATTCGGACCACAATGGTCCGAGTTTAACCTTTCTACAATTTCAATGCGGCGTCAGTCCATTTTGTCATATCCGAGACGAATAGATTCCCGAGGTAGAGACAGTCCATTTTATCATTTTCGAGACGAATAGATTCCCTGATTGTATTACTATTGTGAATCAGTATGAGATGACTACTCGTTTAATATGAATGACTATTCGTAACATAAATTATTGTATTGTTCAGTATTGTAGTATAAATACATGCAACCATCACAATAAAAAATGTAAAATCAGTGCAAAGATATTTTAATTACCAAAGATATTCTATTTTTCAGTTGTTTGTATACACTACGTTGTGAGAGATGGAAATGTGGGCATCATACAGTTCTAACGAACTTCAGCTACCGAACGGAGTGAATATAGTTACATATTTTATTCATACAATACACAATCGGTGTTATTGTATGTTCTCATTAATGAGAGAGCAGGGGCGAACAAATTACACATTTGTCGTTTCACAAACGTGGTTGATGGTAATGAATGTTTTAGGGTTTACCATTACATTCCCCACTAGAATAAACACCGGACGTAGAGCCGAGCAATTTTTGCAGAGTTTTATTGATGGTGAAGTAGCTTATCAGTTCCACAATGAGGAGATCCGGTGTACGAGTTACAAATATTTTACTTTTTTTTTTTTCATGTTGCTTGCGGATGTATTTTGTTTTTCTAATCAGGTGTTTCGTTTAAAAATGCAGTTTGTAGAATTACCCGCACACTCGGATCTCATCACAACATTTTGGGCGGCACAATAAGTTGGTTTATCGTTCAGTTCGTCGGGCCATGGTTCTTTGCAATGCCATACTGCATGTTTGAACACCTTGTTGAGCATGTCAACCCTACCGCACTACTATATCACGGTCCGTCCGACTCGTGGGAGTTGCATGTTCAAGCAATGTCTTGTTACGAAGACTGTGAAGAATTTCTTAATGCTTATGGAATTGAAGAGCATGACCAAATAGTCATGCGACATGTTGGTTGTTTTCAATTTCAATTTTTTGTCATAAGAAATAGGACTCAAGTTCAACTACAACATGCCCTAGGTGATGGGGACAGCCGTGACATAGCTCCTGGTAGTACCGGTGGAATTATTTCTGTACCAACGAGGTCGAGCATCCATCCTAGTGTTTCGATTGAATCACTTATAGGATGCCGAACATTATTGATTGATATCCGTGAGTTTTCTCGTGAACAGTCGCTACTAATAGACTTCATTGCTGCGACGGTGACTGAGAATGACTTCGTTGATGTGGTACATGGCACTACCACAACCAGATTCCACAACGGTTACTATCGACGTGCGTATTTGGAACTAGCGGATAACATTTCCCTCTTCGACGGAGCTCATAATTTGTTGTTTTTGAATTTTGATATTGGAACTATAAACTTAATTGTATTCTCTCGTTGTGGTCTGGAAGTCCTGTATAATCATTTGTGGGCCTTTCAGATTTACGATTACGCACGATTAAATGAAGAACCGTAGAATGATTATATCTTCAAAAAATTGAAATTTATTTTCATTAATGTAATGCATGAATCGGACACCTATTATTCGATTTATCAATGTAATGCATGCTTCGAAATTTTTTATAATCTTTTATTTATTGCAATTTTAATTTTTTTTTTACATTACTACGGAATTACTGATTGTTTCCGAAAAAAAAAAAATTAAATGTGAAACTCGGACCCTAAGGGTCCGAGTTATACTTTGTAAAAAAAATAAATTTTAATGTGTCTCACTTGATTCGGGGCGGGGAGAGAGAATTGTGTGTGGAAATTAATATGTAATTCGGAGTTGAAAGCTGCGCATTTCCCCATGTAATTTGGACTCCAAAGCTGCGCATTTCATAAATATGTAATTCGGACTCCAAACTTTCGCATTTCCCTATCTTGTGTCCACTTTTCCATGCAAGCATTTTAGGAATCCAACACCTCAAATCTGCATCACCAGCAAATGGACCCTAAATTTCTAATGAAATTTGTAAGATTTACAAATAATTTGTATGGGCAATTGCTTAAAAAACACTCATGTTGAATAACTTTTCTTTTCGCTACAATTAATTGCTTCAATTGAAAATATTTATGCCTTCGAGTGCAGAATTTTGCTCTTCAAGTGCACATTTTATGTCATCAAGTACATATTTTTTCGTCTTCAAATGCGCAATTATGAACAAGTGTTTATTATATGTTTTGTTTTCTTTTCAATAATCTATAACTAACTTTTTAATGGAATTTGTGAGTTTTACAAACGGTTTGTATGGACAATTGCTTTAATAACACTTAAATAAAATAACTTACCTTTTTGGTACCATAAATTGCTTCGATTGCACATCTTTGTGTCTTCGAATGCACAATTTTGTCCTTCAAGTGTACATTTCTGTACCTTTAAGTGCATGTTTTTGTGCTTTCAAGTGTACAATTTTTGTTAATTTGAAGTGTAATTTTTTTTTTTAAAGAGCAGTACATTTGGATAAATTTAATGGCTGAGATTTGTACTCATTTTTCACCTAGGGAATCCTTCGCACTTGATCCTGGACATATATATATATATATATATATATATATATATATATATATATATATATATATGATTGATGGCTAAAAATTGACGGGATTAATTTTATAAATGTTAGTATATAGGAATCAACTTAAAGATTCCATGCATATATTTCTTGAGTTCTACCACATGTATTCTCAAATTCTACTCCATCACTTATACTCCTTGACATGACAAACAAAGATGGGCTATTTTCATCATGGGGTCACAGGGAATGTGTCGACATCAAAAATTTGTGAGATGGAGTACAAATTGGGAGTAAGAAATGGGAGTGCATGTAGTATTTTCCATATTTCTTTAATGTAACAAAGCTAATTAGACGAATTTTTTATTTTTTTTGGCAAACTAGCACTAGTAACCCAATTGTACATGAGACACTATCAACAAAAAAGAAGCGGACAAGCAATGAACATGAAGACAATGACAAACTTATCCAAAAGCGAATTAAAAAAACTTAGAGAAATTCCAACCAAAAGTAATATCTATTGAGCATATAGTATATAAACCTAATATGCAATCAAACTACAACTTAGGCTTTTAGTTGAAATGCAGCAAATGCTTCAATTGTATCTACTGCCTTTTTTTTTTTAGTACTACAAATTTACAATGTAATATATGTATGTACAATTGTATTTACTACCTAATACCATACCAACTACAACAAATATTTAGATAATTATTTTTTGAAAAATTACAAATTAAAATTTACTTTGGACATGAAATCAGTCGCACAATGCGTGTGTAAAACTAGTCCACTTATAAAATTTATAATCAATCATTATTTTTCATTTGTACAAAAGAATCTGGAAAGATTCCTAAGTATTAATTATAATATTCTTCGGATAATAAACTCATCAATATTAGCGCAAGGTACAACCTTAAAACTAGTGTAATGGAAGAACATGAATGAAAGCAACAACATATTTAGAAGTGATCGAAGACAGCCCTGCAGAGTATGTTTTGGTGCAGGAGACGAAACTCTGTTTTGCTAAGAAGATTTGGAAGAGCAAAGACTACGTTGTGCATCATAACACCTTTGACGGGGTCTGATCTGGTCTTAAACTTCAATATAATGTAACGATCCTCAGCTCGAGTCTTCACGCGCGGTTCGTCTAGCTCCCACCCTATATATAAGCTACTATACGATGTTGACTGCTACGTACACAAACAATTCTAATTTGTAATTACTGCTTTAGATACACATACACATACACATACACATACACATACACATACACATATATACATTCTTCATGGATTTGAAGAACCCCTTAGTCTTTTTGTTGCAGCTTTTCACTTTTTATTTAACCACTTCATTTCCTGCCCAAGCAGCAACACCTCCTCCTCCTTATTCAAAACAGTATTACCATGTTGTTAATTTGGATTCACTGAAGCCAAAGCCTTCCTGCGAACCAAACAGAGAAGGTGACGTACTATACCCCACATACGGACACACAATAGTGTCTGATCCATATATAAGTGCTTAATTAATACTTTATTTTCTGTAACTCAACTTTAGAAATTAATCTAGGTGCATCAAGATTCCTAAACTTGAGCTTATATGTGATTATATTGTATTGTGTTTAACCTTAGCTTTTTCAGAGCATGCATTTCCTAGGATAGATTTGGGTTCAAATGAGAGTCACCATAGGAAGCTCAGTTCGCACCTGAGCATGCAACTTGGATTTCTCCTTTTTCCTAGCTTGTTTTCTTGTCGTTGGGTTTATGTCCTAAATTATAAAACTCTCTTTTTAGTATTTATATATTTTGTATAAATAAATTCGAACTTGGTAATTTTATACTAGTTGTGATTGGGATTATTTTTGAAAATTAAAATTACAAATCCCGACCCTATTTTCGTTATATATAATATATATTGAAATGTTTGATCAAATCAGCACTGCAAAGTTCCTAGGGTTTGAAAGCTTCATATTTGTGTGGAAAGGATGATGATTCATTACTCAATCATTAGTGTGAAAAAGTGTATTACATCAAGGCAAAGTAGTCTGCTATATATCAAAGAGACGAAACGGAAAGAAAGAGGCAGTTATAACTAATTGCAAGGAAAAGACCATAATGCCCTTAAGGCTTATTACAAAGGAAAAGCAGAAGACTTTCTTAACAACCTTCTTAACAACCTCACCAGCTGTGCTATGCTTCATGATCAACTTTGCTATGCTTCATCACCCCCCCCCCATAAGGTGGAGCATGGAGGTCCTGCATGCCCAGCTTAAGTTGACAATCATCAAATAAGGGCTTTGATAGTCCCTTAGTAAAAATGTCTGCAAGTTGTTTGCTGGAAGGGATGGCAAGGAGCTTGATCAAGCCTTCTTGCACTTTAAGCCTCACCACATGGCAATCAATGTCAATGTGTTTGGTACGCTCATGAAAAACATGATTTTCTCCAATAGCAACTGCTGACTTGTTATCACAATACAAATTGGTAGGCTCATTGGTGTGGACTTGCAAATCTTTGAGAAGGTAACTGAGCCATTGAATCTCACAAGTAGTGGTAGCCAAGGCCCTATATTCTGCCTCAGAGGATGACCTAGACACAGTTGCTTGCTTTTTAGTTTTCCAGGATATGAGAGAGTTCCCTAGGAAGATACAATATCAGTGATAGATTTTCTAGTTTCAGTACAAGTCCCCCAATCTGAATCTGAGAATCCTTGCAATCTAACAGGTGATTTTGCAGCATAGAATAGGCCTCTACCAGGTGAGCCCTTTAGGAATCTGAGCACTCTGTGTGCAGCCATGAGATGAATGTCACTAGGCCTATCCACAAACTGGCTTAATTGTTGCACAACATAAGATATATCAGGCCTGGTATTAGTCAGGTATAGAAGCTTCCCAACAAGTCTTCTATACTGCTCAGAATTGGCAAGAGGCTTACCATTAGTGGTGTTTAATCTTTGTCCTGTAGTGAAGGGAGTCTTGGCAGGCTTGGCTTCCAGAAATCCATTTTCCTTCAAAATATCCAAGGTGTATTTTCTTTGACAAAGGTTAATGCCATTGGGACTTCTTGTAGCTTCAATTCCCAGAAAATAGTGTAGCTGTCCAAGGTCTTTTATTTTGAAGGAATAGTCTAGGAACTGCTTCAACATACTGATCTGAACAGAATCTGTACCAGCTACTAAATGTCATCCACATACACTAATAGTGCTGTGAAAGAAGTGTCTGTCCTTTTTGTAAACAAGGAAGGATCAGCAACAGACTGAGAAAAACCATTATTTATCAAGGCCTGAGTTAGCTTAGCATTCCATTGTCTACTTGCTTATTTGAGCCCATACAAGGATCTAAGCAATCTGCACACCTGATTTGGTCTATCACTCACAAAACCTAGTGGAAGGACCATGTAAACTTCTTCCTCTTAGTCCCCATGTAGGAAAGCATTATTGATGTCAAGTTGTTGAATCTCCCAATTCTTAGCCACAGCCACTGCCAAGAAGGTTCTTATAGTTGTCATCCTTGCCACAGGAGAGAATGTTTCATTGTAATCTACTCCCATCTGTTGAGTATATCCTTTGGCCACCAGCCTAGCCTTATATCTCTCAACAGATCCATCCGCCTTATGCTTGATTTTATAAATCCATCTGCATCCAATTGGTATTTTCCCATTAGGCAAATCTGTTAGGATCCAAGTGTTATTTTGGACTAGTGCCTCAATTTCAGACTTCATAGCCTTCTTCCATTCATCACTCTTAATAGCCTCATTATAGGACTGGGGCTCATGTGATGTTGAGACAGCAGAAACTTTAGCTGAGATTGGATCAACATTGGTGTATTTGTGAATGGGATAAGGGGATGTTCTCCTTTCTGAGCCATCAGTAATCAATTGTTGGCAATAATAATCATGTAACTTGATAGGTGCACTTTTGGTTCTTGTTGATCTCCTGAGAGTTTGATTGTCATTGTGACTGGATGAGCTGCTTCCATTTGAGGTTTCCACATCACATTGTTGATCAGCTCTGTGAGATGAACTGTGATCAACTCCTGCCTCACTGTTCATCTCATTTTCCCAATCAAGTCCAACTGTGAGATCCTCATTGCCTTCATCACTGTGGTTACTATATGGTGTGTCTGTATGATGGACATCTGGTGTGGTTTTCCAAGGTGGATACTCACTCTCAATGTAAGTAGGAACTAGAGGCAATGAAGGACTAAAAGCATCATTCTTGGTGTATTCTGACTTTGTAGAAGTTGCCTCTCTGAAGGGATAGATATTTTCATGAAACTTAACATCCCTGGACACACATATAGATTTATCAGTTACATCATATAAGATGTAGCCTTTTATGTGAGCTGGATATCCAAGAAATATGCACTTTCTTGCCCTTGGTTGAAACTTGTTTCTTCCATGTGACAAAGTGGCACCAAAGCAAAGACAACCAAAGGATTTCAGCTGACTGTAGTCCACTGACTTTCCAGTCATTAACTCAAAAGGTATTTCTCCATTAAGGACATCAGTTGGAAGCCTGTTTATGAGGTATATGGCATGCAGAACACAATGACCCCAGAACTTTGTAGATAAACCAGATTGAAATCTGAGGGCCCTAGCTGTATTTAACACATGTTGATGTTTTCTTTCTGCTATTCCATTCTGCTGTGGAGTGTACACACAGGACTTTTGGTGAATTATTCCTTTCTCATTAAGGAGGGCAGGCATCATAAACTCAGTGCCATTGTCTGTTCTAATAGCTTTAATTCTGCTATAAAAATGATTCTGAACATAGCTACAGAAACTTTGAAATATGTTCTTAACCTCTGATTTGTTCTTCATTAGGTGCAGCCAAGTGAACCTACTATAATCATCAACAATGTTCAAATAGTAGTGTTCCCCCTTTAAGGAAGCATCAGCAAAAGGACCCCATACATCCATATGTAGTAAATCAAAACACTTCTGAGCCCTGGAATTACTGATATGAAAAGTAGTCTTTTTATGCTTGGCAAAGTGGCATATATCACAAACCATGTCAACATTCTTAATAGGAAAATTAATGTTTATTCCTTTCAAAGATGGGATCTTATTAACATGATAGTGTCCTAGCCTGTCATGCCATACATCAATGCTAAGACTATTACACTGTAATTTCAACTTTTCATCAATCACTTGATTTTTCAATCTGATTGGGGGTCTAGTAATCAAGTAGAGTCCTTCCTTCTCTTTAGCAAAACCATCCACTCTTCCAAGAGGTCCCTGAATGTCACAACAGTCAGGCTTTACAATGATTTTGCACCCTGCCTGTTTGGTTAATTTACTGGCAGACACTATATTAAAAGCAAAAGTTGGGATGCATAACACATTCTGTAACACCACATTATTATCCAATTTCACTTTCCCTACATGAGTAACTTCAGCTGTTTTCCCATTAGGCATTTTCACAGATATTCCAGAAACTTGACAACTGCTTTTAAGATATTCTATTGAGCATGTTATGTGATCTGTGGCACCAGAATATAATATCCAAACATCTAGAGAATTCTGAAAAGCATTGATGTATACATTACCTTCACTTTGATTTTCACCAAGATCTTTAAACTCTGCTGTAAGTCCATGGTTAGTGAGGGCAACAGTAGCATTGGAGGAGGAGTTCTGACTGGTTTTGTTCTGGTTTTGCAGAAGGTTCACCAGTTTTTGAAACTGGTCATCAGAGAGGCCTGTTTCACCCACCTGATTCACAGAGGTATTCATGGACTGTGGTCCTTCCTGATTTCCCTTCTGTTTAGCTTTGTATCCTGGAATCCACCCTGGTGGATAGCCATTCTTCTTGTAACATTTCTCTATGGTATGTCCAAGCATACCACAAAATGTGCATTTAGGCACATTCTCCCCTCCATTACTGCTGAACTTCTTCTTGTTATTTGAGGATGAATAAGCTATAACATTCTGTTCATCCATGTTTTGAGCTGTATTAGCCTGAATTAGGTCTGTAGATTTTTGATTGATAGCTCCCTTGATTTTCCTCTCTAATTTCAAAGTCATATTAAACACCCTTCCCACATCCGGCATAGGATCCATGACAAGGACTCCGAATTTAATAGGCTCATACTCCTCACTTAGTCCTTCCAGAAATCTGATGACACAGTCATCCTCCCTTTCTTTCAGCAACTTCTCCATGAGAGTACACGAGCATCTAGGTGTACACTCACACACTGGTAAGGGCCTCAGGGTGTTCAATTGTTGCCACAGAGAATTACATTTGGTGAAATACTCATTAACAGACAGATTTCCCTACATATTTTTATATATCTCATTCTGCACTTCAGATATCTTATGAGGATCAGTTTGTGAATACCTTTTACTGAGAGCATTCCATATCTCCGAGGCTTTGTCAAAGTACATGACGCTTTCAGCTATTGCAGGACTCACTGATCTTAGGATCCAAGAGCAAACGATGCGATTGCATCTCTTCCAAGCTGCATACCTTGGATCAGCCTTAGTAGGACTTGTGATAACTCCATTGACAAAATCATACTTGTTCTTCACTTCTAACGCCATCTTCATAGCTCGATTCCAAGATGGATAGTTAGTCTCAACCAGAATTGGAGAGACCAGCACCATATTTGGATTCTCTGTAATGTGTAGGAAGTATGGATCGTCAAATTCAACACTGTGTTGATTCAGCTGCCCTTGATTCAATGATCCAGCTGACTGATTACCACGATCCTCTCCCCCTGTCACGTTTTGTGCCATTGTTACAACAGCGTAGCTTCTTCTCTGCTCTGATACCATGATCAAAACAGCACTGCAAAGTTCCTAGGGTTTGAAAGCTTCATATTTGTGTGGAAAGGATGATGATTCATTACTCAATCATTAGTGTGAAAAAGTGTATTACATCAAGGCAAAGCAGTCTGCTATATATCAAAGAGACGAAAGGGAAAGAAAGAGGCAGTTATAACTAACTGCAAGGAAAAAACCATAATGCCCTTAAGGCTTATTACAAAGGAAAAGCAGAAGACTTTCTTAACAACCTTCTTAACAACCTCACCAGCTGTGCTATGCTTCATGATCAACTTTGCTATGCTTCATCAATGTTTATGGATACATGCAGGTTTAGCATCGAGATTTGAAAAGATAGCAATGGCATCTAGAAAGGGACCATGCAGGCTACCCTACAACCCTGCAAAGACAATTTCCTCTACACAACATTTTCAAAGTGAAAAGGCCGATGATGATGGTTCTGCAGATCCCATGGAATACTATTTCACGGTTGGGCTGGGAACACCTAAAGCTTACTACAATTTGTTCGTGGACACCGGCACCGACAACACTTGGGTTCGTTGTCAGCCTTGCAGCAGTGGCTGTAAATCTATTAGCCCTCCCTTCGATCCATCCAAATCAAAAACATATGTCAATGAATCATGCAGATCTACTGATCCAAATAATTATAATAATGTCTTTAACAGTAGTTACATCGATACTTCAGCTGCTATTGGACACTAGGGGTGTGATACACTTACAATTCAGAAACAACATTCCTATGTTGCCAAGAATTTCCAGTTCGGTTGTGCCCAAGAAATCAACGACACAGTTGGTGATAATTTTGGAGATGATGATGGGATCCTTGGCCTGGGACAAGGGGATCTATCTCTTCCTTCTCAAGCAGGTTTCCGAATCTTCGGCTATTGTATCCCAAAGACAAATAGCCGACTTGGGTATTTTGTGTTTGGGAGTGAAGCAGCCAAAATGTCTTCATCCTCCCATCCAAAATTCACAAGATTGCTCAACAATGCTGGGGAAATAATATATTCTGTAGTGCTTAAGGGGATCAGTGTTGCCGGGAAGAAGTTGGATATTGATGCTTCAGATTTGAGCAATCAATCAGGTGCCATTATAGACAGTGGAACTACCTATACTCAATTACCCATCAATGCTTTTTCTGCATTACTCACAGCTTTCAACCAAACATTGGCATCCATCTATCCAGCTGCATCATCTCAATTGAAGTTGGACACAATATGCTATAATGTGGATGGGATTGATACCACCACCTTTCACGTCCCACCCATAACATTTCATTTTACAGGGATGTCAGAAGGGGAAGTTATTGATGTTGAGTTGAGGCCATCTGGGATTCTGATGACCACTAACACTACTGGAAATTCTGAAATTTCCGACCACCTGAAAGTAATCTTAAATCAAGTCAAAGCCTTGTTCCGACCACTTTTGGTATCCGGAAAAACCCTTGTTGCTATTTCCGACCACTTTTTGCTTTCAACTTGATATAAGATTACTTTCAGGTGGTCGGAAATTCAATAATTTCCAGTAGTGTAAGTCAAACCAAGTGTGTTTGGGCTTCATTCCCTCAGAAGGCCCCCTCACCATTATTGGCAACCATCAGCAGCGACAAATGGGCATGTTTTTCGATTTGCAGAGGGAGAGAATTGGTTTTGGAACCAAAAACTGCGCTGAATGAATAAGAAGAAACAAATCATCATGCATGGAATTGAATTCAACTCACTCCCTATCCCTAGTAATGGTAGATTACTTTTCCTTCAGCTCTCATTTTCAATTTTGATGTGTACTTTACTGTACGTGTTTCAATCTTCTAATTTTGTGCTTGTTTCCATGTAAAACAAACATGGTAATTGGATCTGAATCCAATAATATAGTTCAAAACATATTGATATGACTCAAGTAGATCATGGAACAAATAAAATTATCCAGGAACGTTCTCAATTCAATGAGACAGAGTAAATTACTTGCACGAAATCTCCCTTTAGTTTTGAGTCCAATTGGGCAATTTTAAGAATTCATGAGCAATCTTCAATGAAGCGCGTCTAGCTATGCTGCCCCCTACGAAGATTACGAGTTTGAACTCCAAATAATAATTCTAAAGGGTAGAAGAATGTTAGAAGTTATTGATGTTGAGTTGAGGCCATCTGGGATTCTGATGACCACTAAGTCAAACCTAGTGTGTTTGGGCTTCATTCCCTCAGAAGGCCCCCTCACCATTATTGGAAACCATCAGCAGCGACAAATGGGCATTGTTCTATGACGGTTGTTACTCCTCCACGTTACGTGGTTCTATTTATATGCATGCATATCGCCGGTCATTCTCCACCAGTTCTACGTAGACACCAAACACGATCGCCTATTCAATTATCAACGATCAGCGATGGACATCAACGCAATCGCAACAGGTTGTGCCGTTTTGTCTTTGGCGGAGGAAGAAGTCGGGGGCCTAGAGGCACCGGACATTCACACGATCTCATCGACGAATCCTCACCATGATCTGATTGGTCGATTCTTAACGGATCGGATGATCAAATTCGACCACATGCAGCAGGTTCTGGCCTCGGTGTGGCATCCAGTGATGGGCATGCGAGTTCTCCCGATAGATGACAATCTGTTCTTATTCCAATTCCCGCACCTTGAAGGATTTGCAACGCGTGTTGGATGATGGCCCATGGTCATTCGAGAATCACACGCTAGTGTGCACCAAGGTTCCGACGGCGTTAGGCCGGACGATGTGTCTCTTAACGACATCTCGATATGGGTCCAGATCCACGATCTCCCTACCATCTATGCTTCCTCAGATTTCATCGCACGCATTAGCGATTATGTGGGCACTTTTCTGGCAGCTGTGTAACACCCCGTGTTACGGCCTTCAATCGTGGATTAATTATTTAATTAATCCCGCTAATAATAATTAAATATGATTTAATTATGTTAGGTTTCCCTTTAATTAATTAATAGGGTCCACCATGAACCGTGGACCCTTGCCTAAATTAGAGGCTTAAGCCTATTAGGAATAAAGAAAGTAAACCTTTTACTATTCGGATCCTAATTAGGAATCCTAGACCTAGTAATCTATTAGGAATAAAGGAAGTGGGCCTTTTACTATCCAGATTATGATTAGGATCCGCTTTAATTAATACGGTCCAATGTGGACCATGGACCCTTATCCCTAAAACAAGTCCCTAGTCCTATAAGGAATAGAATTAGTAAACCCATACCATTCAGGCCCTAATTAGGAGTCTTAAATATATAAATAGGGAACTTAGGAGGCACCTAGAATTCCCACCACAATAATCTCTCACCATCCAAAGAGTTCCAAGAATTTCCCTAGGAGAAATCAAGAAAGCAAGAAAGCTTAAAGAAAGATCCTTCATAGCCAAGGAATTAATTAAGGCTAAGAGGTAACCCATGTCTCAACAAAACCTATTTTCATAGTTATGATTTCCCCCGTAGGATTTCTCCATATTATTGTGTATTGATGATTTATGATGTTATTATTGATAATTGATGGGATAACTCCATGGGTGATCTTGATATTGGGAGATTCTTGGTAATTATGGTGTTCTTAACGATTATGTGGAATTCTTGATGATTATATGTTGCTCTTGATAATTGTATGGCGTTCTTGATGCTTATGTGTTATTTGTACCGAATCTTGTAATTAGAAGACGAACCGTATTCTTGTTGATGTAAAAGTGATTAGAACCCTAGGTTGAATCGTATGATATTATTCTTGGTATATCGGGTGGGGAAATCGCATGTTTGGGTGACAATTATGTTTAGAAAAGCATGATAGGTTATGTGCCGTACGTTTCTCGTATTTGATCCGTTAATTGTCTACGTGTTGATCGTTAATTGCGTTGTAAAGTGTCTAAGCATGGTTTCGGGTTCCACAACGGTTCCCGGGGCGTTTGGTGTATAAAGAGTCAGTGGGGGGTAGGTGGGGGGGTAGGGGACCCGCCACCTACCCACGGTCAAAGATGGCAGTCCCGGCAGCGAGCAACCGGCGGGCAGCTGCCCGCCGGCGACCCGCTGCCCGAAACAGTATTACCGGCGGGCAGCCGGCGGGTGGCCCCCCCACCCACCGGCTACCCGCTGGAAATTCCCACTCGGGACCCCGGCCTCCCCGTTTGATGTTTTCCCCCGATCCCCGTGGTGTCCCAACGGACTCCGTCTATCGTGCCTATGTCTAGTGGGATATTTCGGGTACCGTTCGTAGGTTTATGAGTCTATTATATTGCATGCTAGTTGAATTGGTATCCCGTTGACCTAGGTGGAAGAAGTATGAACCCCTTAGGACTATTCTTAGTATGTGATGGATCACGCATAGGTTTTGTTATACGTTTCCTCCCCCTTCCCAATGTGCAATGTGGGTTGCATGTGCTTGCTATGTGTTATGTGTGTGTGTTACCCCAATTCGGTTGCGATCGGATTGGTTATCCTGAGCTGTGGTTCAGAAGCTGGCTGCGGTCAGATTGATACTCTTGGGCTGCGGTCCACCGTTTGGTTGCGATCAAACGTTTCTATATGAGCTGCGGTTCATCCTTTTCTAGGCTGCGGTCAGATGACATTCTCTTGGGCTGCGGTCCACTGTTTGGTTGCGATCAAACACTATGATGAGCTGCGGTTCATCGGTCGGTTGCGATCGACCCCTCCGTGTTGCGATACGGGGCAGGGTGCTGCGGGGCCGTGTCAGAGCTATATGCGCTGACCCTCATGTATGGGTATGCGATTGGTCCTGTGGCGCCAACAAAGTGTGCTATGTGTTGTGACGTGGATGAGTGGTGATTATGAGTGTCTTGGGGGATGCGACTATGGGGTTTATGTTGGGGATTGTTTATGTTGAGTTATGATTATTGTTTATGCCTTGCCTTATCTGCCTTATCTGTTGTGAACTACATATGCTTGTTATAACTGTTGATTGTTTCTAGCCTTATCTGTCGAGTCATTCCCGGTTTTAAAGCTAGAGTTCGTAGGATATATCTTCATGCTCAAAATGGTTTTCGTATATCTATATATACCTCTATATGTACTGTATTTCAACGCGTTGGAGTGGGTTACCAGCATCTCTCGCTGAACAGATATATTTGGCTTTCAGGCACAGAAGATTATGTCACTGGAGCGCGCTAGAACTCAGAGTGTAGAAATAGATAGTTTCCCTTTCGGCCTGCGTGCCATGTTTATACATTTATGCTTTTGAGGATATTAGTTAGTTAGCCTGTGCATCTGGGTTCTCTAGCCTAGGTGTGGCATAGCACCCCGAACACTTGTATTATATTCTGGGATTTAATAAGATTCTACCATTATTATCAGCTTTAAAAAGTCTTAAAAATCTGGGGTGTTACAGTTGGTATCAGAGCCTAAGTTTGACCCTAGGATAAGACTCTTAAGACCGGACTTTAGGACATTAGGCTTGAACTCTAGGTATCTAGGAACATAGGACTCAGGAATCTTATGACGCGCGGTGAGATTGTGAAACCTACACATAACCTCCCCTCACTTTATCCCTCCATGACTTAAAGAACCCCCCTACGCTTACCACACCAAGGTAAGGGTGCAGCACACTGACCCATCACTACAATAAATATTGGCCCTAAAGACCAGCAGCACGGCGCCAACAAGAAGACAGTCAAGGACCCCACACTCCTCGCAGAACGAATCCGAACCTTCAACAAAATCTTTGGGTTAATGGAATGCCCAGGGGAGCACCGCGTAGAGATAGCCTCGATCGAAGACACGAGGTTGATCCTTGATAAATCCAAAAAGGACCCACTTATGGGTAACAACCGGGGGTCCAACTAGGAGTGCCTAGGGGCACGACTACAAGGACGATTCCACCCCGCACCCGCAAGGGCAACCACGTACAAGAAATCCCCCACCGCCTCCGTCGAACACAAACGCAGACTTCGCCCGACAAGTCTCTAACCATCGACCACCCACATCCTCAGGAGAAGAGGATCCCGGATCCGAACCCTCGACAAAATCCTCGAGTTAGTAGGACGCCCAGAGGAACGCCGCGTGGAGGTAGCCTCGTTCTACTTCGGACACGAGGCCGATCTCTGGTAAATCCACGAGGGTCCCACTTACCAACAAGAACCAGGGTTCAACTGGGAACACCTCAAGGCGCGACTTCTAGAGCGGTTTTATCCAACACACGTAAAAGCATCCATGTACGAAGACTTTCTCCATCTAAGACAAGGGACAACTACCGTCATGGAATACCAATAAACGATTCCTTGAACTAGAATGCTTCACACTATAACTAGTCCCACCGAGGTAACCGGAGTAGAGAGATTCGTATCGGGCCTCAACTTTGAAGCCCGAAAAGCACTAGTGGTAAGCAGACCTCGGACTCTCAATGAGGCTTACTCCAGTCCCGCTAATCTCTACCGAATCCAACTACTCCAAACGCGGAATCCAGGAACAAACTCGAAAGAAGAAGTAACAGAAGTGGGAAGCCGCTCCCTCCAGCATGAGCGAACCCTTTCGAAACTAGTCACGAATGGGCGCAACTATCCCAACCCGGAGACTGGGAACGCCAATTAGAATGCAAGGAAGTAAGGTAGTACGTCAACGACACCCTTTCCTAATCGTTGGCACGAATCACCGAAAGAGGCTCGATATGACAAGAAGAGGCAACGAACACATGGAAAGTATCATACAACTAGAACCTCC